ATAACAAGAATGCTTCGTCAGAAAACATTTTCAGAAAGTGATACTGCATTTATAGTCAATGGATTCGGATTTTGTTCGGTTCCGTTCCCAGTGGAACATAGAGAATTTGGTGGCAATAGCGTATATTTTTACAGGATGGATTTGCTAGCCTCAAGCCCAACTTTCTCTCTTCACCAGTCCTATAACTGGCTTAGCGAGGTAAAAGAGTGCGTTGGCCAGGGATCGAACCCTGAACCACCTGCCTGCTTGGTGAGCATTCTACTGCTGTACCCTTGACGCAGTTAATAATAAGTTGATAATCAATAAACAATGTCGGAAGCACACCTTGTATCACTCTTTCTTTCCAAAAGAATAGTCCTTTTGCGTATTCTGGTGAAGTATTCTACTCTACCGTTTGAAAGTGGATGACAAAAAGAAAATAGAACTGGTAAGTGATGAAAGGACTGGCGTGAGGTCAGCAGCTCCATTCTGTGAAAAGAAACACTACTGCTACCGAAACTTTGGAGGCCATGTATGAAGGCCCATATTCCACCTGGAACGCAAAGGAATAAAACAATAATGATAGTAATACGAACGACTTAGCCAGTTGTCATATTGTCCCTGAGATAACACCTAGTGTGGTGAGACCAGGCTGCTAGCCAATTGGTCGACAGTAATCTACGTCAATGTCAAGGTTACTAATATGGGCCGTGAGAAAATATGAACAAGGCTGTTTCAACATCCAATCACAGCAAACTTAAACGTGGACAAATATGATTCGCAGATAGATGGTTCCACTTTCCGAGGAACTCGAAGACAGCCAATCAGAAGACTGCGTTTGTCTACTTGACCAGGCTATAATAATGTATGTGAAATTTATATAAATACGTGTTGATTTCCGTAATAAAACGAGCTGTTGCCTGTCCCTTGTCATCCGTTATTATACTAGTACAACCTCTTCACATAAATTTTATGAATTATCTATCATTTTCAAAACATTTTACTAAGTTTATTATTGACAACAAATTATTTGGCATATTAAATTAATTATACTGAATGATCAAATGAGACTATAAATGTTGGTCAGTGAAACCAAAGAATTGCAATTATTATCATTATTATTGTTCCCCCACTTCCCGAGTATTTATTTATTTATTTGTTTATTTATTTGTGATTGCAGCTTGATTCCACACCGTATTTTTGGTACAGGTATGGAATTTTCAGCATGGATATCGGTAGCCCGAATTTCGCAGGCCGACCATAGATATCAGGTGTGCGTCGGCCAGGGCTCGAACCTCGGACCATGTGCATGGTTGGCGAGAGTCCTAACCACTGTGCTACCGCCGCACACATATGGCTTCAACAGTACGTCTCCAATCTGCTCTTTTCTCTGTTCTCTTTTTTAGCTGAACCCACGACTGCCCAAAGTCTCTCATCTCCGCCTCTCGCGATCTCCTCAATGTCACTCCCGGATACAAGCCCAACTAGTCGCTTAACATACGGGTTCCAGTCGTGGGTGGGCCTGGTGCGTGATGTCATTCGATGGTCTACTCAGAGTGTGACCATTCCATCTCCACTTTCTTCTAAATATTCCTTGAGCAGTGGGTTTTTCAGTGGTTCGTTCACAGAGTTTCTTATTGCTGAATCTTTCTAGCCGGCTATCTGATCTTCAGTACAGAGCCAACAATAAAGGTTTGCGATAGCACGTTAGAAATTCTTTTTGTGACGCAAACGCCATGTTTCTGATACATATGGAAGAAGAAGTGAACAACGTAACGTTTGAGTTGAAAGTCCAAATTCTATTCTTTGTGCTGGTTGAGTGCCCGACCGAAAGCTGCTACCTTGACGTGGTGGTCGGGCTTGAACACCGCAATGATCTATTCAAGCTATACTGGCTGAGACTTATGTCTCTTGAGGTCCTACCATGCCAGGCAGGTTGTTTGGAAAGCGGTTAAACAAAACGCAGCTACCCAATCCAACATCATGATCAATACAAAATCACAAAATTTCATGCCGGATCGGCCGTGGCCCGGATTAACAACGACCGCGCTTCCTGCTGCCGTGTCACAGGGCAGGAGTGATAAGTATGCTACTGAGGCACGCCAAACAAAAGAGAACAAACAAAAGCAGGCCGCGTGTGACCGGCCTCAAGCAGTTGTCCCCTGGGCTCTGCGGTCACGCAACCAACTTCCACGGTGTGGGCAGCCGGGAAGTAACAATCGCCCTCACAATCCGAAACGCTGGTTGAGTGCAGCAAATTTTCAAACTGATTTCATAATGATAAATGTCTGTCTTGTCTTTGTGACTTTGGTTTTGACATCATCATCCAAGCTGTCACCTGTAGATGAAATGGTGTTCCCGTATTAAGTGAAGGAAGTGATCTCGTACAAATGTATTAAGTTGATAGTGATTGATGCTGATTATTTTGGTTTGTAATCCCCATCACTTCCGTCTTCTCCGTGTTCATCTGAAGTCCTGAATTCACTGACTGTTTCTTCTGTCAGGAGAGTGTTGGTTTTCGCCTGTCGGTCTTTGAATGTCTGTGACATTAGATATAAGTCACCTGAGAATTCCAGGTTCTTGTTATCGGCTAAACATATTCCAGTCTTTTCGCAAATCTTGTTTTCTCAACATGTATCAAAACGTCTACCTTTCAAGGGAACAAAGGCTTTCAATAATGCCATCGTCAGGCGACTCTTTGATACCGGTCATCAGGTGGAAATTGCTAGATCCCTCAAAATTATCAATACACAGAATAGTTCACCTCTCCGCAAGCTTGCTGAAGCAATCTTTAACAATCGCCGGGAACGCGATTTATGTGTTCAGAAAGAAGCGGATATCAGTCTTTCCTCGCCCTAGTAAATGGGTGTTTTCATTCCCTCTTCCATTCAATTGCGCAACGCTGAAAATTCCACTTTGTATGATTATCATTATGTGGAATAAAAGTGGTTATCCCGTCGATTGATTGGACCAAAGTGCTCGGTCTCAAGTTGACCGATACTTCGACGATGTCTGGGCATTTAATTAGTATTCAATTGGTAGGTGGTGACTAGCAGTGAAGTCCAAGTGATCTAGTGGATACCGCTTTGGCGTTTGAAACTGTGGGCACTTGGTTCGAGCCTCAGTGGGAACATCACTCACTGAGAAACGCAGATACATCCAGATGACGAGTCCCAAATAGGACGAAATGCTCGTTGTCCTGGATTCCATTGTCTGTTTTCGACATAGAACTTTGCACAAATGTGTGGAAGTTCAAGTCGCCACATTCCGTGTAGCACGCGAAGCAAGAGAAGAAAGTACAAGAAAAGCATAATAGAAACAGTGAGCAGCGGTGTGAGACAAAGGAGGAGTAATAAAGAAATACAAAACAGTTTCATTGAAGATTATTAGTCACAGGGAGTGGATGCATCTGCGCTAGCCACTGAGAACGATGAGTTTGAGCCATGTCACCAATTGTTTCCAACCATAGATTCTTACCGTCCCGAGGACCCCAGCCTGGAAGTCTACACCGTCCTACGTGGCTTAGACCAACTGTTGTGGATTTCATTGAATGGTGAAGCCAAGTTTTTGTCTGACCGCCGCTAGCTTTTTTCCAGCCTGACCCTATATCCGCTAACATTGCTCGTCGAGGGAGGCGATGGCTTGGCATACGTAACACATGTCCTAACCATCTCAGTCGATGTAAGTTCACAGCCTCGTCGATTGATTTCCCCTGTTTACCTAGAACTCGACGCCTAACCTCCATGTTGCTCACCTTATTATGCCACTTTACACGGGAAATAGAACGCAGGCACCTATGATCAAAGACAGCTAGTCTTTTCATGTCTTCCACTCTCAGTGGCCAGGTCTCACAACCATAAAGGAGGACGGAGCGGACTGATGAGCAGTACACCCGCCCTTTGGTCGATAGTCGAACATCTCGTCTACGCCAGAGTCGGCGTAAACTAACAAATGCGAAACGAGCTCCTTGTATTCGTGCTGAGATTTCGTCAGAGATCAGCCCGTTGGGGCTGATGGTACTTCCCAAATAAGTGAAGCGGTCAACGTGCTCTACCACTTCACTTCCTTTTTTTTAAACTAGGCGTCGATGTAGTCCAGTCCTGTAACATCATCTTGCATTTGGCGGGAGCGAATCGCATGCCAAACATTCGTAGATTGTGGCTCAAGGTGTTTAGAAGACTCTGGATTCCACTGCTAGTCACCATCCACCAACTGAAAAGTGGTTATTATTATTACTACTACCACTGTATGTATACACTGATATTTTGTATAAACTTGAATCCGCCGGGTAAATATGTTACTATTGTTCCTGTCTTTGGGCTGTAAGCGGTTGATGAGAAGCCAAAGAAATAAATGATCGTACCATTTAAATCTGCACAAACTATTTTTTTGCTTTATTCAAATTCATAAAGACGAATAAATGTATGGTGTTAGAATTCATGAGCATTCGAATTTCAGCCTCTTCAAGCGGCTGAACGATCAACTAGCCTGGTCTCCAAACTTGAATGCCAAGGTTTCTTCTATCGTTGATGGGAGTCGACGATGTGAACAACTGAAGAGTACCAAAATAGGACAAAACAGCTGTCCAGGGCTTTGTGATTTTAATGATCTCTCTCTACTTGATGTTGGTTTGTGCATAAGTCTAACTTCTTCTTTTTCTTTCTTTTTCCTTCATGTTCCCCAGTGGAACATATGGCTTCAAGCTATTGGCTTGAAGTTTCTGTAGTAGTGTTTATTTTACAGGATGGGGTTGCTAGCCCCATGCCCAACCTTTCCTCTTTATCAGCATTATTTCTGACTTAGTGAGGTAATGGAGTGAGTCGGCCAGGGATCAAAACCTGGACTATGTGCATGGTCAGCGAGCGTCCTAACCACTATGCCATGGACGCCTACATAAGTCTAACAGTTGAAATTAAACGACTCCGAATACCCACAAATCGCATAATGTATTTGTTCAACTTTTTTCATGGATTTTAATTTATCCCTTTAATTTATTCCATTTTTTTTAAATCTCAAAATAGATCTTATAAATGGCAAGCATTTCGTGAAAACGTCTGGTCTATTATCGATATTTCAACAAAACGTGTCAGTGCGCGATTGAGTACTCATCGAAATGCTAGACAAGAAACAACGAATCCCCTGTTTCCCTGTGATTATAATAAAACCAACAGAAATAATATTCAATTAAGTATGAATGAAGGGACTGCCGATTCAAATCAAAAGACACTAGATCCACATGATCTCTGTAAACAAGTCGCTAATCCAGTGGCTCAACAATCCCACCCTCATCCTTATGCTGAACAGAATTCACAAGGTCAAGATTCACTGAATAATCAACAAATCAATCATATTTCAGTAGTATCTTGTCCACAAGAAACACCACCTTCAAATTTACCGACAATGAATTCAATAAATGCTGATTGTAATCCAGAGTTGAGTAAATTTCGTCCAATCTGGAGGTCAGCATCATCGACTGAAAGTGAAGCAAAGTATATTACATGGTTAAGACGTTTATATTTAATTTATGAAACATTAATTGTTACATCAGCTGTTGGTGTATTTATGATGTCTACGGTAAAAGATTTTCGTGAACCATTCTACTTAAGTTCATCTGCTATGCCTAATGGAACATCACTGGATAATTTTCCTAATCCATCTGTACAAATACCAGTCTCGCGAAGAACAAATAGTAGTCAGTTAACATTACCAGCTAAATGGCTTGTACAAATGGATATCTTTTTTTCAATTGCTATCACTATTGATGTATTAATTCGTATGGTATTTTGTCCATGTTTTCTAGTCTGGTTATTTTCTGTATCAACACTCATTGATATCTTATCTTTGGTCCCATTCTATTGTGAATTTATTTTCTACGAATTAGTATATAATTCTAATTATGATGATCCACAAGCTGTATCATGGATATTAAGTGTACTTCGGGTAGAAGAATATTTTGTTATTTTAAAAGTGTTTGTTGTTCTCCGACTATTTCGTGTATTAAGACGTCATAGAGGGACACGTGTTCTCCTATATACAATTCGTACAACTATAGCAGATGTCTCAATTATTGTAGTATTGATTCTTGAAAGTGCCTTATTCTTTGGTGCAGCTATTTATTTTGTTGATAAATCATTCCCTGATATACCACAAGGATTTTGGTGGGCATTAATTACAATGTCAACTGTTGGCTATGGTGATTTGGTGCCTAAAAATACTTGGGGTTATATTGTAGCTACAGCATGTATTATTCTAGGTGCATTGTTAATGTCTTATACTATACCTGTACTGGTCAATCATTTCCTTCTATATTATGCACATGCAGATCAACTTTATATGGTGAAACAATTACATCGTACAGCGAAACGTAAAATACGCAATAGACGAATGTCACGTTATCTGCATAAAGCGTTAGCCAGTGCTAAGACATTTGTTAATGCAACAATTGATAAAAAGAATTCAACTACAATTACTCATAGTACAGATAAAGGAAATACAGTAATTAATCATTAAAAATGTCTTTCTTATTTTCTAGACAGTGCCTTCTGCTGCTTCTTCTCCCCTTGTGTATATGATTTGTGTGCTTTTTATGTCACGCGCTCAAACTCTCGCCTTTCTTTCATACACCTACCGGTCCTTTGACCTTTTCTTACAATCCCTACCCAACCTACCTATAATCCTTTAGGGATTTCAATAAGCGTCAAGGTCAAAAAAGAAATATTCAATTCAGAAAAACAAATCAACATTGAAGATTGAATCTTGTTGTAAAATTTGATTCTATTTTATATATTTATTTGGATATTTATAAATAAATATAAGATGGTTCATGTTCATCAAATAACAAAACTTAAATTTTTTTTCTAGTAATCTTATATTGTACACAAATTTATCAGCCGCCATTTTTATCATTGAATAATAGTTTACATATCAAGAAACTGTTTTGTTTTATAGAAGTGATGTATCCTTTTTATCAACAGATTTAAGAAGTCATCTCTGTGAGTGCATTTTCACCGGCTTCTTTTTCTCTCTTGACCTCATCTACATTTCTTCTGGTCATTTTTTTAAACATCTTCATTTGTCTTTAGCATCTCAACTGTTTTATAAATTGATCCAAACGGTTTGTTTCTTTTTTTTTGTTTTTACAACTGACTGGTCTGTGAATGAAAATTTGAATAAAAATATTTATATAGGTAGAGGAGAATTTTACTCACCAGGGGTTACGTAACAAAGTCATGAAGATACGATCGTCTGGATGATTCGGAGCTTACTAAGTTGGATAATTCCAGTTTGTGTGTTGGACGGCTTAATTGTCCTTTATAATGTAATCAGCAAAAACTGTGGGATGGTGACTAGCTGTGGAGTCCAGAATGCGCATCCCACGGAGCCAGTTTTGCTTATCAAAAAAATGGCCCACTGAGCACTCATGTTGAATGCAGAACTCCATTTAAGCGAGTTAAGCCTCTCACCTATTTAAAGTTTAAGAAAAGGTTTCGCGGACGTTTTCTCCTTTAATGCATCTAATCATTCGCTTTACTGGATAAAACTGTTTAAATCTCAGAATGCCATCGATCCTGAGGGAAACTTCGTAGGGAACCAGCTGCTAGATGTTTCGATTAGGCTTTCTCGACTATAATCAGGTTATACGATCAATTTATACATCAGAATCACTACAGTTCTCTGCAAAAGGAGCCAATATGTCAACCTGAGATCGAGTACTTCAGTCCAATCAATCTACGGGAAAATCTAAAATTAAAATAAAACAAGTAACAGACGTTAGCAAAACAGGATTTAATAAATTCATCAAACGATGATAGAACTCTTCACCTAAATAATACTAGAATTACACTGAGAGGTAAAAAAACTTATAAGTAAATAAACCACATTGAAGACGGAGATAATCTGAAAAATGTGATGTATTGGCGTTATACATTTCGAACAATCTGATCCCTCACACATTTACTTGTCAAGTCTATATATATATGGAAAAGTTAAATTAAACAAAGTGACAAAAAAAGAGGAATCAACGTATTTGCACGGCTGATGTTATAGACAAAGAAAATGAAATATTGATGGATACTCTTGTTGAAAACGGATATCCTTTGAAATTTTTAAACAGGTGTAGAAGTCAATTAGTCTTTAAACCTACAATCCATACCGTCCCTAAGAAAAAGGTTTTTATCAAATTACCATATAACGGGGAAATAAACAGTAGGATTGTGAAACAAATGTTGAATTCAATCATCCGTAGAACCTACTATGCAGCCCAGCTTGTAATTTTGGAAAAAGCTAAAAATATGCTTCACTGTAAACCCCAAAAGTGCACAAGTGATTATATCACATCCCATACAATTTACCAATTTTCGTGTGTGTGTGTGTGTGTGGACATACATACATAGGGAGGAGTAATCGCGCTTTGCACGTGAGGGTGGAAAAGTATATCCCAAAATGGTTGGAAAAACAGATGAATTGTGACGAGTCAATAGATGCAGGCGTCAGACAACCAACTTCGTCTATAGCTAAACATCTAATCGAGATGAACCATAAGATTGATGTTAACTCAGCCTTTAAGGTCATTTATAAAAACGGTCAAGAGCGTTTACTGAAAAACGCTGAGACTATAGCTATTCATAAACTTAAGCCCCCCCCCCACTTTTGTATTCAAAAACAGTTTATTATTACTCTTAACCTACCTTGGTAATCCTTATTTGATTGGATTACCAAACGTTTGTGTTAATTATTAATTCCATTTTCTCTCACTTTGTTTAATTCAACTTTTCCATATATATTGACTTGGCAAGTAAATGTGTGAGGGATCAGATTGTTTGAAATGTACAGCACCAATGCATCAAGTTATTTTTCAGATAATCTCCGTCTTCTAATAATGCTATCAAAATTTATAAAAGGGAAAAATTGTTTTAAACCACATTGAATCAGTCATACAGAACAACAGGTATGAATGTTTTCCAATTCATGTTCAGATCGATAAGGAGAAGGGAGTTTGAGTGATTAAAATGAAGGCAATGACGCAGTACGGTTTAAATGACATCATTTTATCAGTGAGTGAAAAAACTTGACTCTATCAAGAATTGCAGACTAAATAATATTGATAATAATAGTAACGATAATAATAACAATGTGACAACTTAAGATAATATCACCAACAAAAGGTAGTCGTAAATAAGGTAGGAATAACAATTAAGTCGCAGGATAAAATATCCAAAATAATAACAATAAATAAATACTGAAAATATTTATTTCCCGATAGGAATATAAAACAAGCAATAAAGCAGGTTAATACAACAGGATGATTTAATGAATTCATCAAATTTCGGTAGAACTCGTCACCTGAATACTCTACATACACGGATACATGTATATACTTTTGAAATTACATTGGGAGATATAAGACTGATAAGTAAACAAACTACATTGAATTAGTCATGCAGAAAGACACGTTCGAATGTTTTCCAAGTCATGTTCAAAAAGATAAGGGGAGAGAGGGTATGAGAGATCAAAATTAAGATAAAATGCATTACGTTTCAATTACATCACTTAGATAAACAATTAGACATTAGAGAATATAACAAGAATTGCAAACAGAGCAATATCATCAGTAATAATTATAATAACAATATGAATAGTGTTGAAATGAGTTAGAACACGAGTAGAACACAAGGAAACGATATCATTAAATTCCTAGACATTTCTTTAGCCATAATGTATGGTTGCACAATCGAAAGATCTATATTTAGAAAGTCTTCATGGACAGGACAGTACATGCCTTTCAAGAGCTTTGTTCCAATCCAGTATAAAATGAACTTAGTCAGAACACTGTTCAATAGAGCACGGAAAATTTGTTCTGAAAGTACTATTGAACATGAAATAAAATCTCTGAAGGATTTTTTATCTAAGAATGGATATCCTGAGAAGTTCATTAATAAATGCTCCAAATAAACAAGCCTCAGAAAAAAGTATTCAAACAGTTCCAACTTGCCACTTGAAGGGGATCATGTATACAAGAGGTTGTTAAACGAAAACTCGATAAAGCCATTAGGAGAACTAATTAAGCTGCAAAACTTGTTATCATTGACACCATCAACAAACGAGTGCTTCAACAATCTGGGAAAGACCACTCGCCAATCCTGGACACTTCAAACTGCGTATATCAGTTTGAGTGTGTTTGTGGAAGCCAATACATAGGTCGTACAGAAAGACGATTGTCTACTCGCATGATGGAGCATTTGCCAAAATGGTTGAAAACAGCTGAGTCCAAAGTGCCAAAAACCTCAATAACAAGACATCTTGTGGACTACGGATGTGATATCGACGCTGTCAAGTGATTCACTATTGTCAGCAAACGAAGAAACAGGAAGATGCTTATAATTGCAGAGGCTTGTACATTTCGAGTTTATAAACCAGGTCTCTGTGTACAAAAGCAGATGGTCGTGACTCTGAATCTACCATGGTAATACGTTTTACTTATTTTTTTTTTTATAATTATTAGAAGTATTCTTGATTCATTAAAACTAATCAGTAGGATTATCTTAACTCATTTCAACATTATTATTGTTATTATAACTATTACTAATGATATTTCTGTTTGCAATTCTTGTTATATTCTCTAATGTCTAATTGTTTATCTAAGTGATGTAATTGAAGCGTAATGCATTTTATCTTAATTTGATCTCTCATACCCTCTCTCCCCTTATCTTTTTGAACATGACTTGGAAAACATTCGAACGTGTCTTTCTGCATGACTAATTCAATGTAGTTTGTTTACTTATCAGTCTTATATCTCCCAATGTAATTTCAAAAGTATATACATGTATCCGTGTATGTAGAGTATTCAGGTGACGAGTTCTACCGAAATTTGATGAATTCATTAAATCATCCTGTTTTATTAACCTGCTTTATTGCTTGTTTTAAATTAATAAGTAAAAGTTGTTACCATGGTAGATTCAGAGTAACCACAGCTTACTTTTTTCTGTACACAGAAACCGGATTTATAAACTGTAATTGCAGAACACATCGGCAATCGCAAGCATCTTTCTGTTTGTCTGCTGACAATAGTGAATGACTTGACAGCGTCAAAATAATGTTCGTAATCTACGAAATGCTTTGTTACTGAAAGCCTTGGTACTCTGACTGCAGCTGTTTTCAATCACTTTGGCAGATGCGCCATCATGCAAAGAGACAATTGCCTATCCATACGTTCTAAGTATTTGCTGACACAAATACACTCAAAGTATTGAGGATTGGCTACTGGTCTTCCCCAGACTGTTGAAGCATCTTCTACGTGTTATTAAGTGAGACGTGCTTTGCACCTTAATAATTTCTCCTAATATCGTTACCAAGTCTTTGTTCGAATACTTTTTATATAAAATCTCCTTCGAATGGCAAACTGATACACACACCTTTCTCTGAAACTTTTTGAAGTTTATTTACTGGGGTTGTTTCATCAGAGTATTTATTGATGAACCTTTCAGCATATCCATTCATAGACAAAATATCCTTCAGAGTCTTTATTTCGTATTCAATTTTACTGTCATAGTAAATTTTACGCGCTCTATTGAACAATGTTTTGACTAATTTATAAAATTATATTTGTAAAATCTCAGCGAAATTGAAATGACTAATTCCAACGTTTCCACCGGCAATCTGGTCCGAACTTCTTCAGGGAAATTAATCGAAATTAACATAACAGAGGTTTATATATAAAAGGAACATCTCTTGTCTTTGAAACTTTGTCCAATCATGAGCCATGAAACAGATATCAACAGGTATAATAAACACAAAATTGTATGAACTGTGATCGAAATTCGACCTCAGACTTTCAAAATTAACCTACTTTTGTTAAAATATATATGCGTATATGCAGTATACAATGGTGTGTGTATGTGTGTGAACAGCCATAAAACTTTTTTTAATTTTTTTATTACAGCTTGATTCCATACCGTATTTTGGGTACAAGTATGGAATTTTCAGCATGGATATCGGTAGCCCAAATTTTGCAGGCCGACAATAGATATCAGGTCGGTAGGGGATCGAACCTCGGACCATGTGCATGGTCGGCGAGAGTCCTAACCGTTGTACCACTGACGCACATAATCGTGAATTTAACCAAGTGTGACTACTTGTTGATACATATCCAATTTTATTTATTAGTCAGAATTTGCCATGCATCAGCTAATATCACACCTTCACGTCTGTTCAAACTGTTGGGATACACCC